CCCCATAAAACTAATGGGGACAATTTTCCTCTCATTGTATCAGAATAAAAAAGACATCAAATTTTCAGAATAAAAAGATTTGATTTCTTCATGTTCAGTGAAAGTCTCAAAAATCACTGATCAAACCAGAAGCTTTGTCATAAATCATAGCTGAAATGACATTAGCCAAGCATTTTCCATTATTCCAGAATCTCAAATTATTTATTTTATATTTAATTTATAAATTTAAAAGATCAGATTCTACTTCATCTATACACATGAATGTAACAGAATACCTATTAATTTAATGTGTTCAGCAAGTATTAATGAAAGAGCATACCTATAATGGAAATATGAAAAATAGAATACCCTGGCCAAGAAATTGGAAAGGTTCATTATACTGAAAGGACTTTTCTCACTCTTTCAAAATTATAAAAGAACTGGGAGACTTATAAATTTGAGGGAGAGAGGACAAAATTGCATACTTTACACTAAGTATTACAGACTGCACTCTGTGTCTTTGGTGAGCAATGTCCCTGTGCCACATCCTGAGGGAAGACTTCACAGTTACAGACATGTCCTTAATCAAGCCCTTTAAAAGTCTCCAAGTCCTGAGAATAACATACAAAAAAAACCCAACCAAACAAAAGAGTTTCTTAAGAGTTTCTTTGTTTTTATAGAATATCTTTGTGTTTCTAATCTGCCGAAACATATTTTTGAGTAGCCAAGCTACTTGCACACTGTAGAAAGCCCATTCTTCAGAGTTCAGCATATCGCTACGTTGTTCGTTAGGTTTATGTGCTGCTCAGATGCATTTGGTACCTGACGTTGGTAAAATGCCATTTTGCTGGCCACCGCAACAAAGCCCTTTGTAGGACAGTTTGAGCATCATCACTAGAAGATATGCTCTGAGCTATGGCATGAAGCTACTCTTCATGCCTAGTGACAACAGGACACTGTCAGGAATGCTGAAACGGAAGAGAATGAAAAAGCTGAGGTGACACTTAAGGGCAGCCTTTCCTTAGAAAACTCTCCCTCTGCATGGTATTGGTTCTTTGTTTAAGAAAGAAGGATAGGGTTCAAGATATTATGTAAACGAAGACCATCAGTAATGACAGCAAAAGTTCAAAATAATCAGGAGGACTTTTTGAACACCTGCTGGAACTGCAGATAAAATACATTTCTGAGTTTCTTTTGTTTATTCATAGAATCTGCATTTCACCTTCTCCTCTTACTGCAGCTACTACAACATTTGGTGCAGGAGGGTCAACTGTTGGAGAGCAGCAACACTGTTCTGCTTCTCACAGGACGGTGGTGTAGCCATATGTCTGCTAGAGCCTGTCCAAGGTCTGAATTCCCATTGTCACGAGCAGGACACATGTCAGTTGACCCACTCAGGCCTGGCACCTTCTTTGTTGTGCTTCCATCTGATCACTGAAAGAGGCTCAATAAGATCATCTATGTCAGTAGTTACCGATGCTAACATTTTGGGGAACTTTCCAACGTAAAAGGTCCAAAAGTACGTTAAAGTCACAATTCCTTTTTCTTGCAAACCCTCTCCAACATCTATTTCCATGGTTGATAAAATCTTCCCGTAATTGTTTGGATTGCAGAAAAAAAAAATCCTAAAAGAATACAGGATGACAGTAGAAAGTGCCTTGAGAGATTTAGGAATATCTGATGAAGACCTAGTGTTTTAACTAAATGGCGAAGACTAAGGAAGTACACTCCTTATGTAATGAGACTTTGGTACAGTATTCTGCGTAAAGTGAAAGCAAAAAAATCTCTCTGCCAAAACAAGAGCAGGACTCAAAACATGCAAAATAGCTTGAGTAGCTCAAGATACAGCCGCTCTTGAACGAGGCACATTGCCCAAGATGGCCTGTACACGTGTTTTGAGGGAAACCCTTCTCAGTTTTTCATGCATTTCAGGTATTTCTGGCAACTGTACGTTATGCATTGTGTAAACAATAATTATTATATGACTGAACAAAAGAAAATCTGCTTTTAAACAATGAAAGCAATGGTTTTTTATTCTTAATACATGACAAGACCATGATTTGTAGGTAGAATACAAATTGTGAAAACATCTTAAACTCCACAAGCAATTTAAATAAATATTCAGTTCAAAGGAGATTGATATCATTGCTTCAGTATGGAAAGCTTCTTCTCCATGGGCCTGACCAAAATCACATCAGCTACTTATTGCTAACACTGAGTGTCAGAATTAAAAGAGACAGATGGCCAGGCAGAAGGTACTTGCTACTTAAAGCTCTACTGGCATCTATCTTCCCTTGGTAAGCAGACTTTTCCAACAGCTGGAATTGCAGCAAACCTTTTGGATTCTGCATGTGCCAGGGGAGCAGAGAGCTTGCAGTACCTTGCTGCTAGGTCCATTACCTGCTGCTGAACTTTCCACTTCCACTTTTACTGTCCCCTCTGTAACACCCAGGCTCTGCTGATTCAAAATAATATCAATTTCAATCAAATGGCACTTACTCTTCTACCACCTACACTGTGAAGAGGCGATTAATTTCTCTCCATGTTTGGACTCCATCCTTTTCCTCCATGTCTGTGCCATTCTTCTGTGCTCATTGATAACTCCCCAAAGTCTCTCTTTTTTCTTTCCTTTCAGTTTGAAAGACCATTGGGCATCAAATCTACACTGTCTAAATTTATATGACTCCTTCATTTCTTCACAGCCCTATCCATTCTTTGCTGTGTAAGACTATCTGCCTCATTCACATCTATTTCTTTATATCAACAATTGTTTTAGTTCCATTCTTGTTCTTTTTTTCCCCCTCTACATGTGCTATAACAGGACACTGAACTGTCCCGTGTTTAAGCGAAAAGAATTTGAACCACGTTTTCTGTGCTTCACCCATCAATAATTTGTATTCTTTTCAGGCAAAAGAAAAGCACTTAGCTATATCTAAACAAAAGTATCAGTATTTGATGCATTTCTTTCATCTCATATCTCTTTCATGTCACAGAGTCACTGGGAACAGCAACAGAAGAAATGGTTGAGATGTAACTGGGGATTTTTCTTTTCTCCTTAAAATGCTGATTCATTGGAAACAAAACATCACAAAAATCTGACTCTGGACAATCTTCTGATAGAACAAGTTTCAAAACTTCTTTGCCAGTTCTGGGGTATGCAGACTGCCCACTACTCGAGATACTAGTTTCTGTCATTCCACAGAAGGAATAATGATGACAGTTCCCAAGACTGTTTCTACACAGAATGTTAATTTGTTAATTAGTTTCCCAGGCTACTCAGCTTCAACAGCCTAATGAATCATTTGCTCAAAGAATCAAACAGTGGGTTTTGGTGTCTGGCAACTCTTGTGTCCTCAGCTGCTGGGGCAGTCCAGCTGGTGGACAGTCTGCCTGACAGCTCCTCTGCGAAGGGACCACCGTTGGGTTTGCTGCTCAAGTACCTGAAGAGCCTTGACATGTATAAATTTCACCCATGAGAGTGACTGGATTTAAAGATTTCTTTCTTAGGGGGAAGGCAGACATCATAAAATGCAAGAAATCACTTCTAAAGAGACAGAAGAGAGAAAGGATTTTTCCAAAGCCTTGCAATAATGATGACATCAGGCTCCTGTAGCAGATAAGATTAGAGAGCATGGTTTCAAGACTGATATTTTGGGAAGACCTAGAGCTCTTACAAAATTGCTAAGAGCACCCCTAGACTGTATGTGTGAATATCCAGGACTCCGAACAGGAGCCCTGGGCACCGGTCTCAGGAATCAGAGGGGTTGCACTGTGCAATTCTCCGTTTCCAAGAGCTTTGACATGAGGGTCTGCCCAGGAATCTCAGAGCTAGAGGCATAACCAGCTTCTTCTACAACCCAGCTGGTTTAGAAGTAGGTGCAAATTGACATTTCGGTCCACCTGTCTCATACAGATCAAAGTCAATCCAAAGGGGTACTATTTTCTGTTATAATGAAAATATTTTCATGACTTGATCATATGCCACCCTACAAGTGCTTTTTTTTTTTCTACATTAATGCTTCCCTCTGCTCACAGCGTGCAGGTTATAATACTGCTCATTATGGTTTGTAATATTTCTTTTTAATGATGTCACCGAGGTTATAATTAGGTCTTTCTTCTCAATACATTAAAAGAATTCTCTTCAGCTTTTCCCTAGAAGTGTTCTTGGTTTTGCTTATAGCTGGTTATTTTGGGTGGCATTAGGCTATTTAGGAGGCTTCTGTTGCCCGCTCAGTCCTTCTTAATATATAGTACTTAAATTACAGCTGTGTAAAGACGACTCTAATTTATTCTCAATCTCAGCTAAAAGCCAGCATATAAACTCTGCTTTTTGTATAACCAAAGGCATAGGCTAACATAAATGTCACTTAATTACATAGTTTATATGCCTTGTAAAGCAAAACCAAGATCCATGCCTGGTGTAAACTGCCAGGCAATAATATGGAGTTGCCTTAAACTGTTGATCCTTCACTGAGACCTAGAAAAAAAAACCCCAAACAAACAGCCTGGGGGGGAAAGAAAGATTTTTGTGGTGCAGTTGCTGGTCTGCCCAGTGATAAGACAGCCCCTTTAGGGATCACTCCACTTACCCCACATCTGTGTGTGTGGGGGGGTTCGTGTCTGTCTGGCTTGGGGGGACTGCAGTCGGTTGTCTTCAAGGTTTCACGGGCGAAGGGTACCGGGCACCGGGACGCTGTCGGGACGGGAATCTCGATCCCTCTGGGTGCGTGTGCGTGAGAAGAGGGGGCTTCCTTGGCACCGGGGGGCAGGCCGAGCGGGACAGATGCCGTCCGGAGCCCGGCAGGAGCCCACGATGGCGTGGGAGCACCTGCGAGCGGCAGGGATGGGCGAGGGGGCGTCCCGGCTGCGGGGAACGACTCGCAC